TTTAGACAACTGTAAATTGTTGTAGCACCAGGCACCCTGTTCGCTATATAAACGTCTATAGAATAGGTCATCACTTAAGATCCCATCATCGGGGGCAGAATAGTGGATCACACGATATTAATCATCGATCTACATATTAAGGGAAATAGGTTTTATCATCGCGGTGTCGTATATAATTAAAGCTTCATTCATTTATTGGAGAGACACGACTACCTCTCGTATTAAAGGGGTCACCCTCCTTCAGACTACACCTCTTTCCCCCGTAAGGGTTACAAGGGATGATAATGAGTGTCCTGTACTATAAGGACCTGGGCTGAATGAATCCCATAATCAATATCTCCATACTATAAGGGATAGTAAATGAGTGTCTTGTATTAAAAGGACCCGAGCTGAATGAATCCCGTAATCAATATCCCCGTACTATAAGGGATAGTAAATGAGTGTCCTGTGTTAAAAGGACCTGGGCTGAATGAATCCCGTAATTAATATTCCCGTACTATAAGGGATAATAAATAAATGTCCTGTACTACAAGGACCTGGGTTGAATGAATCTCATAATCAATATCCCCTTAGTATAATGGATAGTAAATAAAAATCCCTTACTAAAGGGACGAGCTGAGTAAAGCTTGTAAAATTTAATTCCCTTATTAAAGGAGTGACGACCTAAGTGAAGCTCGTACAATTTATTCCCTTACCAAGGGAAGATTACCCAATGAAAAAGTATCCAAGGGAATATTGCCCGAGGGAAGAGTACTCAAGAGTACTAAAAATAATATCCAATAGAAGATTACCTAAGGGTACCAAAAATAGTACCCAGGGGTAGAGTACCTAAGGGTACCAAAAATAGTACCCAGGGGCAGAGTACCCAAGGGTACCAAAAATAGTACCCGGGGGCAGTATACGCAAGGGTACCAAAAATAGTACCCAGGGACAGAGTATCCAAAGTTACTAAAAATAGTACCCGAGAGAAGATTACCCAAGGGTACCAAAAATAGTACCCAAGGGAAAAAATTACCCAAGGGAAGAGTGCCCAGGGGAAATAATAATAATAATAATAATAATAAAAATACTGTTCACATGAACAGTAACCGCGGGCACTCTTCTCGAAGGAATAGTGCCTAAGGAAAAAAAAAAAAGAAGAAAAAGTTTTACTATTCCAGTGAATAGTACCCGCGGGTACTGTTCCCTTTGGAACAGTGCTGGGGGCAAAAAAAAAAAAATAAATAAATTTACATTCCTAAAGCTAAACGAGCAAGCTTGGGAATAGGGGGCAACTGATAGGGAAAAATAACTTACCTTGACCAGTCGTCAGACCTATTTGACATATTTCGTTATCAGAGATAAAGATTTCCATCGGATAAAAATGATGACATTTCTTATCCAGAATAATGAATGACGACGCGGTTCAACAGGGTGAAGATAACCTTAGCACAATTTGAGAAAGTCAAAGGAGAAAATCATATCCCCGACAAATCTGGCAACAAACGATCTCCTCTAATCTCGCACAAGCGGATCTCCCACGGGACCAATTTGATTCCAATCGACAGCCATAAATAGGGCACCAAGCCGTTAAAGAAGGTATGAGAAAAAACCCCTAAACAGAATTTACATAGTTATTATGTGATACGATTACAAGTACTAACTTGATCGTCGGAGGGTGCGAGATTTCGTCCTTTTGTTTTGCAGGTAAACGCCGTCGTTCTAAGTCGCGAGGATTTCTGCATTAACATAACTCATAGTGATAAATTCATATTAAATTGTTTTAATATTAGGCATAGTGATGATAAAATGATTGTTAGGTTTCGTTTAACAAATTAACAATTATTGAGTTTTCTTGTATTCATGTTAAAGTACTTATTTGAATATGAGTATTTTGTTAGATTCTTCCTTTGGATTACATACCTTTATTTTATTTTATTTTATTTTATTTTCCTAATGAGGACTTGAGTTTGGTTGTTCATGTTATGCAAAGCCTTCAATTATTTTGGTTTTCATTTGATTTGCATTTGTTAATTCAATTTTTAAAACATTTTTGCTTAATCTTCCTTGGTCCCGTTTCTTGAAAAAATTTAGATGGTATTTGTATGTCAACTTGTTTCTATGAGTTTTGGATTGCTATTTTTTCTTTTTTCTTTCTCCATTGTATTTATTTTTTGAAAGTCTTCGTGAAAGGAAAGTCTTAACAAAAATGTTATAATGTTATAGAAAAAAAGACTTTCTTTCAATGCAAAATGTTGGAAGGTTATTCCTTTTGTGCTTGATCCATGTAGATTACAAAATGATAATTATATATATATATAAACAAGTATATATTTAGTGATGATCAAAGGATTGTTAGGTTTAGTTCAACAAATGAACAATTATTGAGTTTTCTTGTAATCATGTTGAAGTATTTATTTGAATATGGGTATTTTGTTGTATTCTTCGTTTGGATTACATGTACTTTTATTTATTTATTTATTTTATTTTAATAAGGACTTGAGTTTGGTTGTTCATGATATCCAAAGCCTTCAATTGTTTTGGTTTTCATTTGATTTACATTTGTTAATTTAATTTTTAAAACATTATTGCTTAATTTAGATAGTATTTGTATGTCAACTTGCTTCTGTGTTTCTTAAATGAGAATGCAAAAAAAATGTTATAATGTTACAGAAAGAAAAGGTGTCTTATTTCTTATAATGCAAAAAGCTGGAAGGTTATTCATTTTGTGCTTGATCCATGTGGATTACAAAATAATAATTATTTATACATTTATATAATTGATTAGAATCTATATTTTAGAATATATCTTAATATACATGATTTTGAGTTTGAAGCATAAGAAGCAAAATAAGATATCTTTTAGTGCATGATAATCATTTAAAATATTTGAACGTGAAAATATATGGGAATTGCTCTATTGAGGGATTTCTACATAGAATGATTATAGATAGAAGTGTGATAAAACTAAAAAATATTTAATACAAGTAACAAAAACGCAAATTAAAAATAGAAGCTCATTTGTGATATAAATGACATATGAAAATATATTTTCATATTCCTTACTTCACATTGAAAAGCATCAAATCAAATTAATTATAGTTCATCACTTAATCACTGATCAAATAATTTTTTTTAAAAATTTATTATAATCTTATTAATAACTTGAACTTACACCATGTGCATCTGCACGCGCTCTTTTGCTAGTTATATCATAAAAACAAAAACACAGTTAACTAAACACATTACCTTTTTTTTTTTGGATTTATTTACTTCATTATTTCTAGACTTTCTGAACTCCATTTCACGTCTCCTTTTTTCCTTAAAAAAAATTAACCTTGTCGGTAGTGCTCATTGAATTCCATTTATTCCTGGCATTTCTGTCCATTAATCTTTTAAAGTCATCTTTGTTTTGCCTTTCAGACCTTGCTCTTCTTGGTAGCTCTTCATAAAACTAGGCCTGATACATATAATATCATATCATGCATAAGGATTTCAATACAAATGCATTATAAGTTACTTTTTTTTAACTTATCTAAGTGTGACATAAACATAACATCCCAAAATTTTCCTAAATTATCATAATTATATAATTGATCATTATAATTGAATTATTCATTTCAATTTTAAGCACAATTGTTAGTGTAACACAATAAAATAATTTCTAACCCTAAACCATAAATTAAATCTCAAGTTCAATATTAAAATAGGGAATATAATAATGAAATGCATATAATGTCCCAAACCTTACATAACATATTACAAGTATAAAATTCCTCATCAACATAGAATAACTAATTTTAGATTCATAACCAATTGTAATAGGAAGATAGAAAATGAACAACTATACTAGTAACATAAATTTTATTCCAATGTGAATAAAAATGATAGGTAACTAAAATTGATACAAATGTGAATGTAAATATGAATGTATACTTAATCAGAAGGAAGACTCTGTTTGGACGACTCGGAACCATGGCTTTGCTCTTCACTGATGTGGTACTGTTTGCCTCAGGATCAAAATCGTCTTCGGTTGCCTCAAGATTCAGGATCAAAATCCTCGTCAGCTGCCATTTTTGAACTCTCACCAACCTTACAAGTATTATTAGACGATGTAGGAGTAGGAGTAGGAGAAGATTTAGGAGTAGGAGGAGCATTAGGGACGTTCTTCTTCTTTCGGATAGGTATATATATATATATATATATATATATATATATATATATATTGCCCCTTTTGCTGAATTCTTATAAGCTATCGTCTTAACCCTACCCATTAAAAACCTTAACACAACACAGCACAACAAACTTTTGCAAATTCCACCAACAAATGGAAGGAAGGCAACCAAGCAAAACTTCTGCAAATTCGATTGGTTTTGTGAGGTGACAAGATGAAGTCAAAAATACACCAGCAGGACCAACCTATGAAGCAATGAACCAACAATTCTTCATACAAAAGCCTACAATGAAGATGGAAATCATAGGAATTCAACTCGAAGATGCAAAAATCCAGACCAGAGACAAAGACGAGCCAAACCATAATTTTGGGAGGGAAATGAAAAGGGCTCACTTGACCTTTGGGAGGAAATACGAATATTTTACAAAATGAAATATTAAACAATGGTTGTATAATACTTGGTGTATTTTGTAAAGAGTACAAAGAGCCAAACCATTGCTGCAAGGACCGATTGGAACAGGTTATTGTTCCACCGGAGAATATTTTCTTCCGACCTTACCAAAAAAAAAAATATATATATATATATATATTTTCTTCCGATGACAAGGTGGTCCATATTGTGGCGTAGCCCTCATCAATCCCATCCAAATCTTACAAACTTGCAAGAATGTCTTTTTTTTATTTTATTTTAATCTTTTCAAATCATCTCAATTATTGTTTTTTTTTTTTTTTTTTTATTATTTTATTATTTTATTATTTTAATTTTTTTATTCATTATTGTTTTTCAGTCCACCCTGTCAAGTTTGTGAAAGTTTCGTAGTGCCCTGTGACGGATATATATACACACATACACAGAGCGGTGGAGAAATTTCAATAGGAGTACGTTTTAGAGGGAGAGAGAAATGGAGAACGCAGAGAAGGAAGCAGAGAGCAAATCATTGTTTCCCTCGGTTTTCCAACCAACATCTGAGTCCAATCCCAATCCCATCCCCAACCCCACCAACAACAGCGTCCCTCTGTGGCTCTGCAACCCTAGCTTCACCGTCGACCTCTCTGCAGTTCCTTCACTGCACAACCACAACACCATCCAATTAGAGGAGGAAGAAGATGAAGAAGAAGAAGGAACAGCCGATACCAAGAATGAACAGAGAACTATGCCTTCCTACGAACTGCTAGAGGAAACCTCCTCTTCTGCATCGAAATCCGACCCAGATTCTGACACAAAAAAGAAGCGCAAAAGGAAGACGAAGACGACGAAGAAGAAGAAGAAGAAGAGATCCTCCGACGCACCTTACGACTACTACGGTTCTTCGAGGAAACCCGACGTTCAATTTTGGTCTACTTCTTCTTCCGATGTCAAACCCACCAAAGAATATTATTTTGATTCTCGGGGCGACCGCGATAATTTGGCCTTCGGATCTCTTTACAGGTACACACTGAATAATTCCTGAATTTGCAGACTTTGTTTGGTTGCTGTGATTTTTTATTTTTTACTTTTTGATTATTTGTTTTATTCTGCCTTGTTCATGGAATATTCACCTCAGCACAATTTATGGGAGCTTCTTGAGGGCCTGTTTGGTTCAGTTCTCAGATAACTGAAAATCAGAAAACAGACGCTTGGTTGACAGATTAGAACTATATAAGAATTTTCTGAGTTATTGTTTTAAAAAAGCTAAACCAAAAGAGTCTGTTTTACTGGGCTCCCTAGTCATGAATAATCTCAGCTTCAGAATTTAACTATTTTCATTTCCTTATTTTTCTGTCTCACCTACCAAACCGATTCTTGCATTCTGTCAGAAAATGATGCTTCTCGCTTAATCCTCCGTTTCATTGCATTTTCTTAGCCCCGAACTTAACCAAATAAGTTTGAGACCGATTTGGGTCTCACATGATGAAAATATATTATAATACTGTTACTTCTTCTATTCTTCTGTTTTGCCCAGCTGGTTTACACACACACACACACACACACACAAATTCCCATTATGGAGCTCGAACCCCTCACCTTCTTTTTGTGTATGAGAATTGGAACCCTTTAATGTACAATGGGGCTTCCTCTTATGTTGCAGAATGGATGTTGCTCGTTACAAACTTCGTGAATCTACAAGGTTATCTGAGCTTAATTATCAAGCACGATATCGGTGGAATCGGAGGAGTGTGGTCTTTGATGGAGATGTTGATGCTGAGGCATTAGATAGCAAACTTAAGGTCATGGGTCGCTACTGGTCTGCAAAGTACACAGCATTGGAAAGCCATAAGAATTTAAAGCATATTCGAATTGTTGCACCTCAAAGACCAACAACAATTACTTCTGGTGATTTCATTCCTTTATTGGATAATCAAACTACTCGTGAAGGTCTTAATGGTGGGTCACATTCAATAGCTTCAGTAGTTGAAGAGTCTTGGGAAGATGAGATGTTCCGGAAAACAAGGGAGTTCAACAAGATGTCGAGGGAAAATCCCCATGATGAAAAAGTTTGGTTAGGTTTCGCAGAGTTCCAAGACAAGGTTGCGAGTATGCAGCCGCAGAAAGGTGCTCGTTTGCAGACTCTCGAAAAGAAGATTAGTATCCTGGAGAAGGCGACTGAGCTCAACCCGGATAATGAAGAATTATTACTTTGTCTCATGAACTCTTATCAGAGCAGAGACAGCACTGATGTCTTAATGGGCAGATGGGAGAAAATACTCATGCAGAATTCTGGGAGTATTAAGCTGTGGAAAGAGTTCTTGCGCATCATTCAGGGGGAATTCTCAAGATTCAAGGTTTCTGAAATGCGAAAATTCTATGCAAATGCGATCCAAGCTTTATCTGCTGCATGCAGCAAGCAGTATAGGCAGGTTCTTACTATAATATTTTTATGTTAATTTCTTGTATCCGTGGTTGAAATCATGTTCTAATTTCTGAGCATATTTTGTCTTTTAAGTTTCTTTTGCTGTTATTTGGAAAATTGGAACAAATTATTCTTGGCTTTTGGTTATGACGATAAATAATTTGGTTTTCAACCGTCAAACTGTTTATCATCTCAGACAAAGACATAAGATACACACATACATAGACACAAACTCTATAAACACTGTTTTGTCTCACTTCTTGTACTTAGTACTTCTATATAACTCAACTAGCATGTAATCTATGCATTGCTAGTATCCCAAGTCTAAGATTTGTACATTGGATGACTTGAAGAATATATATATATATTTTGATAAGTGATGACTAGAAGAGTATTTAACAGAAGTTATGTTACTCTGCTTGGTCTCATTCTTTTCTAGATACGAATAGGGAATTCCCATTTGTTGTCGTTTGAAAGTAATCTCATAGTTGTCTTTCCTTGTGGGAATTGTTCCTTCTTTGGCATTGTACACAGAAGAGGAGAGGATACGAGGCAGATTTTTTTGTTTTCTTTACTTTGTCACCCATGTAGGGAGATACTATAGTTTGCTTGCTCATTTTCTGGATTAGCAAGTAAAGATATACATATATATAATTTTATAAGTAGATTGGCAAGTAAATATGATGCTATCTTTGTGTATTTTTGCCGATCATGATTGAGTTAGGATGATCTATAGCTTTTTAGTTAATTTTTAAGTAAATCGAATATACCTATATTCAACTTTTTCCCGTACAATTAAATTAAAGAACCTTCTATTGTTCCTTGCACCTCGGAAATGAGCCAAAACTAAATTGTTTTATTTACAATGATGGCAATTGTTGAAATATCTTTATTATAATTTTTATTAGCTGTTTTTTAGCCTTTTATTTGGTATTTTATGTAAGATCCCTATAATCATGGGATCACGTAGATAAGATCCCCGTAATCATGGGATCCCGTAAATAAGATCCCCGTAATCATGGGATCACGGAGATTTTGGCATATTTTTTGTTTTTGTTTTTTTTATTTATTTATTTGGCTTCCTTTCTTTGTACCCTATTCTTGTATATAAATATAGCTCTTGACTCTCGGTTTGAGTTAGCCAAAACCCAAAGCTTCTTCTTTTTGGTATCAGAGAAAAACAAAAACCTTCACCTCCCTATCTTCCTCCCCAACGCAGACACCTTCTCTCTCCCTCTCTCCATTTACCCTCACCTCCGGCGCACCTCCATCTCCTCCCAGCCCTTGCACCGGACCCCTCGGATAACACTCAATTTTCTCCTTTTTTAGGAGAATTCCCTTAGGTTTTTTTATGATCTAAGGGTCCTTATGGTGTTTTTTTTTCCTTTGTGGGCTGTTGGTGTTTGTTCGACAACATATTTAGAGGAAAACACTGATTTTTCTGGCCTTGTTTTTCTCTTTCCCCTCTCTTTGACGTGTGGACCAGCCTTATGTTGGTACTATGAGTGATTCTAGTAGCCAAAAGGACACTTTATCTTCGGGCCGTGGCTGCACTGCCGCAATAGCCGATATTATTGGTGGGTATACTACTACACAAATTGATGTCCCTCCTGCTTCAACTCTTCCCAGACCATCTTTTCAGGACTTTAAACAGTTACAGTCCTAGATTGGTTAGCTTCAGGAGTCGTTTAGAGCTTTATCTACCAAGGCCGACTTTTCTCCTCCCACGGCTACTATAGCTACATGCTTTTCATGTTAAAGAGGGAAAACCTACTTGGGTTCTAGATTCCGGAGCCAATGATCACATGACTGGTGTGTCGTGATTATTTTCTACTCCCGTTACCCCTGTTAATCAGGCTGTTAGTCTAGCTGATGGGTGAACCACCATTATTCATAGTAAGGAGATGTTCATCTATCCCTTGATATTATTTTGCCATCTGTTCTTCATGTTCCTAACTTTGCATTTAATCTTCTATCTGTTAGCAAACTTGCCAAATCACTAAACTGTGTAGTGATTTTTTCCCCTCATTACTGTGTTTTAAAGGACTTGTGTTCGATGAGGATTTTTGGCAGGGGATAGGAGCACGATGGCCTCTACTACTTTAGGGATCCTCCACCGAGACCTCCTCCACTTGCTTCAAGCCTTTAAGCCTCTTTTCTTCCAGTTTCTAGGTCTTATGAATTTTCTTTTCAGACTTTAAGTTTATGGCATGCTCGCCTTGGGCATGTAAACTTTTAGTATTTATGTCTACTTTTCCCTTTATTAATAACGGCTTGTAAGGATAATAAGTTTCAATGTGAGATTTGTGAGCTTTCTAAACATACTAGAACTAGTTATATTTCTCATATGCATCGTGCACTTAGTATGTTTGATCTCATACATTCTGATGTGTGGGATTCCTCTCCTGTTACTGCTTTTTCGGGGCATCGTTATTGTCACATTCATTGATGATTATTCCCGCTGCACATGGGTTTAATTACTTAAAATGAAATCTGAAGTTTTTCCCTTGTTCACTCAATTCCTCTAAATGATCAAAACTTAATATAAAACTGTTGTTAGGAATATTAGGTCTGACAATGGTCGTGAATATGTTTCTAATGAGTTTCGGTCTTAACTTAACCAACAGGGTATTCTTCATCAGTTTACTTGCCCATATACCCCTGAATAGAATAGTGGGGCAGAGCGTAAAAACCGCTAACTAATGTCAGTTCTTCGATGTCTTTTAAGTGGTATGAATGTGCCAAAGTCAGTATGGTGGTTCTTACAACTGCTTTTCTCATTAATCGTACCCCTAGTAAAGTCTTAAATGGTAAGGCTCCCTTACAAGTGCTTCAGCCTGATATTATTCTTTTTTTCATTATGCCTCGAGTGTTTGGATGTACATGTTTTGTTCAGAATCGTAGCCCCCCTTGTACTAAATTTGATGGCAAGGCCATTAAATGTATTTTTTAGGATACTCTTCCATGTCAAAAGGTTACCGGTGTTCTGATCCAGTATACAAAGACATGTATCACTACCAACAGGCCTGTGGCCTAGCGGTACAAGGTTCCTACTTCTCAAAAGGAGGTCAGGGGTTCGAACCTCAGTGGAAGCAGTGTGTGAGTCCCATCTAGGAAAAGGGGAAAAAAAAAAAAAAAAAAATGTATCACTCTCTTGATGTCACCTTTCATGAGCATACCCTTTTTTATGGTTCTAACACTATCTTGCAGGAAACTTCCACTATCGATCAAGAGGCTTCTCCTCTTGCTCGTCCTCTTCCTATTTGTCAATAAGAGTTTTCTCTTGTGATTTCCTCAGCTCCTTTGCTGGTTTATTCTCGCTGCCCTCGTGCTTCGCCTCCACTGCCTTCATCCTCCTTAGATTTAGGTTCAGGTACATCTCTCTCTCCTTTGCATGCCCTGACCCTGTTCCCGAGTCTCGGTTTCCCACTCGGGACCGCAAAATTGGATGTCTGCTATGAAGGTAGAAATGAATGCTTTGCAACATAATGAAACATGGGAGCTTGTATCTATCCCTCCCGGTGAAAAGACTATTGGTTGCAAATGGGTATTCAATGTTAAATATTTTGTTGATTTGCTTTATTGATCGGTATAAGGCCCGTTTGGTGGCCAAAGGGTTTATTCAGATTCCTAGTAAAGACTTTAATGATACCTTCGCTCCAGTGGCTAAATTGACCTTAGTTCGTTTGCTTTTCTCCCTGGCTGCCTCTCATAATTGGCCTCTTCATCAGCTTGATGTGAAGAATACTTTTCTTAACGGTGATCTTCTTGAGACTATTTACATGGATCCTCCACCCGGTTTCCGGGCTGAGGGGGAGTATGTTGGAAAGGTCTGTCGATTGCGGAAGTCTTTGTATGGATTAAAATAATCTCCTAGAGCTTGGTTCAGCTGCTTCAGTGATGTAATTCTATCCATGGAGTTTGTTAGATGTCATTCTGACCATACATGTTTTATCCACCGTTCCTTCACTGGTCGATGTATCATTTTTCATGTCTATGTTGATGATATCATCATTATTGGCAATGACATCCCTGGGATTGCTCAAGTAAAGCTTCAATTGGTTAAAGCTTTTGAAGTGAAAGACATTGGGCAACTCAAATATTTTTTAGGAATTGAGGTTGCTAGATCTAAGTAGGGTATCTTTTTATTGCAAAGGAAGTATGTCTTGGATCTTTTTCGAGACACGGGTACGCTTGGGTGTAAACTTGCTTCCACTCCTCTGGATCCTAATCTGAAGATCTCAACCGAGTCCGAAGACCTCCTTTCTGATCCCTCGCAGTATTAGCACTTGGTAGGAAGATTGATTTATCTTACCAACACCCGTCCTGATTTGGCTTTTGCTGTTAGTGTTGTGAGCCAGTTTATGCATGCTCCTCGTACAACTCATATGGATGCAATATATCATATTCTTCGATATCTTAAGTCCTGTCCTGGACTTGGATTATTCTATTATTCTAGCAAGCATGTTGGGCTATCCAGTTTCAGTGATGCAGACTATGCTAGGTCCAAGACTGATAGACGTTCCACATCTGGCTTCTGTATTTTCTATGGAGACCATCTTATATCCTGGAAAAGTAAGAAACAACCTGTAGTTTCGAGATCTTTAGCAGAGGATGAGTATCGTGCCATGGCTTAAGGAACTTGTGAGATTCTCTGACTTCTATCTTTCTTGGAGGAGCTAGGGCTAGGTGAAAAACAGTCCTCAAACTTGTTTTGTGATAATAAGTCAGCCATCATGCTTGCTTTAGATTTTGTTCTTCACGAGAGGACTAAACATATGGAGGTGTACATTCATTTTATTAGAGAGAAGGTTCGTTCAGGAATTATCAAGCCGTATTTTGTTCGATCCTCTAATCAGTCGGCCGAAGTGTCCACCTTAATCTGTTGGTTCATCTTTGCTTCATTACTTGATTACCAAGCTGGGCTTGATTGATATATTCACTCCAGCTTGAGGGGGAGTGTTGAAATATCTTTATTATTATTATTATTGTTTTTATTAGATGTTT